GATGACTACAATCTCACAGGCCATGACAACGAACGAGTTTTTTCAGCATAGATCCAAACAGGAAAAAAAATCGGCATTCTACATGTCTGAAGAATGCCTAGTTCTATTCCGGTAGATGTCACTGTGCGATGTTTCCGCGTGGTAACGGGTGCAATCTCTCATTTCTTCACACATAGTTCGCGGGATCACCCCATGTGTCTGTATATCTCGCAGCATGTGAAACACAAGGACCTGCAGCCATGGCAGACGACCGATTCACACCTACACTTTAGATGTTTGATACCTGTTTATAACAATAGTGTTACATATTTTAAGTTTACTTTTATTTATTCTTATAGAGAGTTTTTAATTTCAATAACACACAACGAACGTTATCGAGTAGTATTACATAATTGCCAAAAACTGTTAAAAAACCGAGTATAAATATGATAAAATATTTTCGTTAGAGTGCATGTAATTTTACAATTTTGATTTAAATCACGAGTTTGAAATGTATTAATCATACTGTGTTGGGTATCTGGTTTGTTAACTCATGTACCCCTGAAAACACATTTGCATTCTTCCAATTCAAAGGTTGGAATAGTTTAATATGAAATTTCAGGGGTGAACGAGTTAAAATCATTGGATTATTTTTTTCTTTTTAACTGCACGATCCGCTACAAACTTCACAATGCAAGCAGGGCGCCGAAAAACACTGCAACACAATTCTGTTTGCTTTATTGGTTCTGTAATAAGGGTTTTATGTAACAAATACCGAACACGTTAAATGGCCGGTTACAGTAATGAGAAGAATAAGACTGTTGTCAAGGCATACGCGGTCAATATGAAATTGAATATTGTGATATAAGTTTATTTATTTATCAACAAAATAATGAGTTATGATCTAACAGTACTTTGGAAAAGTTACAAATATGGGTTATCATAAAGACTCAAAAATTCAAAGTCGAAGTCTGGGCTACAGGCAGAGAGTTGGATACAGAGCAATCCTACAGTAATGTATTCTCACAAATATCACAGCTAACATTCGTTGGTGTGATATGACATATGTACTGTCATGGCAAATTCTTCTATTACGGTGATACAAACAGAACAGAACCAAAATGGTATGTAAATAAATTATCAATACGTTAAATCCCTGGTGCAAAACGTAGAAATGCATGTATCACATACTAAACGTCAAACACAACAACAGCCATTAACACATTATGTACTTCAACAAAATCGCTTAACATAGCAGGAACCTTTGAACGAACACAACAACAGATTTTCAAAGAGAATATCAGAACCGTGGCATATTACACAAGAATCACTAGAGAAAGGTTTTCAGGTTCAAATAACAGAAATTACGAAATATTTTCGACATACTTTTGATTGAGAAATGTGTACTTGGAATTGACGTACTTCGGTAATTGCTGACAATCCCCACAGATGAAGTGCCGAAGAATTTTCCTCTTGAAGAGTATTCTAGTGTATGCCGTTTCTTAAAAATATTTTCGTTAGGAAAGTTTCTCATAAATCTGTTTCTGAACTGACGAAACGTTGACGACAGATGAAGGCTGATGTTGGAATCTGTACGTAATGTGAATACGAATTAACTTATGTGTCTAATAAATATCTTAACGATTAGTAGAAGAACAAGGTTGTATGTTCTCGTGTTGTTTTATTTTACAAGACATTTTTATACTCGGGGTATTTATGTTACTCGAATGAGATGATTGCTGTATAGTTTGTTTGTGTGCTTATAGAGTATGTAGGATCTAGTGGTCTTTAAACAGGGCATATTATGGGCTATAAAACAATGCAATGTCTGAAATCTCAACACGTATATATAACATTTACAACAATTGTGAAATAAGATAAAACCTTATACTATGTTTATCAGTCTTGTGTTTCAGATGAAAATCATGTTGAGATCAGAGAAATGACGTTTTCATTCAGTTGATTCATAAACAATACGTTTAGATATAATCAAATAACACATTACGTCAGATAATCTTACAAATTAAAGATGACGTATCTTCTTATGTTTATATATATATACATAACTTTTATTAACATTCATTCAGTTTATATACAAGTTATATGCATGTTATGTTACTAACTAGTATACAAAACACCGGTCTTCATTCTGAGATATATAAATGATGAAATAATATCCTTGCTCACGGGATGTAGAAAAACGATCTGTCAAATATCAAATATAAAGGATGGTATCAACGACTTTGTTTGATGATTGAAGTTTGAAGGTAGGTGTCAGATTAGAGGCGGTATCATTGTAGATTAGGTGTGATGATCGTCACGGGAGATACGGGCGTTACTGCAGTATTTCACGGTCACCACCAGTCCACGTCTGTTCAGCATTACACCAGTGTACACCAGATAGATCTGCACTCGCTGCCTCAAGCCTTATCTTAGAGAAGCCTCCATTGTTTGATCAGAAAGGATGTTGCACAACGAACGAGCCTGTCTACATAACCAGTGTACTATTAAAGACAGAATAAATATCCGATTTTTATGAGGGTTTGTAATGTTATCTTTATGTGAGCTACCTAGTAACACATTTTCAGGGGATATTTTGACAATTATTTCTCTTTGCTATCTACCCGTTCACATTGTCAGAACAAGTTGGCAGACTGTTTCAATCCAATTGTTATCTTTGTGTAACTATTATACGACCATCACATACGTAGATTATATCGAAAGGGTATTTATCAACCTAGGTCTAGACCAAACCGTCTGTAACGCTCCTGGCCTTGTAGGATGTCCATTCCGCAACACAAATGTGTTCGGGCACAACACTTAACCGACGTATGGACATCGAGGCAGGGCAAGATTCTCATAATATCATGGATTGCCCAAATGTTCAGAAAACGTTAAGAAAAATACGTCATCTTAACTGGATATTAATTTTATATATGAAGAAAATCTAAAAGTTGTATACACAACAATAACATTTAATCCATTAGGATTTCAAATTACTGCTCCGTACAAATACGATTCCAGCTGTGGAAGATCTGTTTTTCAGATAAAGTTTTTTCGTTAAGATGATAAAGCTTCCTGCACTGACTTTAGAGAAGAGCAAGTATCTCATCATAACTGTCTATTAGTCTTAGACCAGGCGAGTATGGTAGAAGTCTGCATTGCTTCAGTTTTTATATCACCAATTTAAATATTGCATTCTTGTTCGTTTTGTTTGGCTAGCCTTAATGATGGCAAACACCGTCTCGTGATACCACTGAACATATACATCAATGACTATGTGAGTCGGTGGGGAGCCAAGCCAACCCGTTAGAACCACTATCAGTGAAATTCTTCTACGTTACATCCCGATGCCAACCTCGCTTGTATTGAACAGAAAGATAATGCAGGACTTGAAGCTCCTCTACCACTGAACACATACAATGGCACTAAGCAAACGATACCAATACTGGGTCAGTCTTCCAACGCGCTTGTTCAAAGAACAACCACAATGTTCTCGTTTTTTTGCATCAGACAACACGATGAAAGCTTGTTCATTGACGGTAAGTGTGCCATCAGGAAAGGCTCAAAGATGTTTTGTTTTAGTGAACAATGTACTGATAACGCTTAAATGTCAATGAAAGCTAATGCATTAACGACTGAATTATAATCACAATTTCATATGCCTTAGTAGACTGACAGTTGGTAGCAGACACGAAATGGAGCGAGCCTAAATACAACTCGATGCTTACCTCATTATGAGATAGTCTTTAAGTCTCATACAAGTCTGCACCAAATCTTTATATTTCCGGAATTTGAGTGTATACTACTGATGATGTAATCGCCGCAGAATCATTAGGAACAAAAAAACCCAGACAGTACTGTACATATATACTAATTAACAAATGAAGACATTGGGGCCAAACGTTAATACAAAAATTCACAACAACAGATTATTACGCAGTCCTGTAGATAGGACCAATAAGGATAAACGCCAAATTGATAATAAGTCTAACATAGTCGTTCTTATAAAATACCCGACTGCAAACACCATCTACAAATCAAAGGATCACCTACAACTATATACCATGGCCCTTTAGATAGGTTATTTCACGTATTTTACGATCAGTGCATTATAGTCATGCAAACTGAGACGAGATGTTTGAATATAATTGGTAACGAAACTACAGACAGCCATACAAACGAACTCTCCCCGATATTATGACATGAGATTGAGGTTTTCACCCCTAACCACAGCACAGGTTCATTATAATGATTAACACCCCTAAACATCTGGAACTAGGTCACGGGAGTTCTTTGAAGACTATTAAAATATGTTCATGGATCTTTTGATATGCAAGCCCATAAATCATCATTGCCTTCAGACTGTTTTACCCTTATGCACTTGTTAACTATATGTTATTATATCAAGTATTATGCATAAGTATTATTATATCATAACATGTTAATGTTTACTTTACATTACACTTTATTAACCATGTTTCAGAAATCTGACCAATATAGACTTTGAATAAATGCGTGTCAGAAAGTAGTGATTTTATTAAACAGTTTAAATTATGCCTGTGAATATTTCGGATAGGTATTTAAATTAAGAGGGAACAGTTAGTTAGCCTCTTATTCAAACTATCCTGGACAGATAACAAGGAGGAGGAACATCGTCAACGCACATTCGATACGTATTGATCACAACGTGACCAGGACAGGCTGCAAAAGAAAGGACGGACATCATGACCTCCATCAAAGAACAGAGGTGGAGCCAGGTGTTCCTGAAAGATAAGCGCTGTCTTCGTCACATTATGCATCCGGTATCTTAAGGTATTAGAAATAACACCACGCTAAGACAACCGGAGCAATAAAACGTTATCAGAGATAAGACACTACTTCAGTTTAGATTTCGCATTATCACATCTCCTGTATAAATGTTAAAAACATGGCTACATGGCTAAATGTGTAATGTTCTTACCGCAGTCGGTTTGATCTGATCAATAGCAAATATCACAAAATACAAGTGTAATACTCACCTCTTCCAAACGCGATTTCTATATCCACATCCCTTATGTCTCCAGAATTAGTTTCCTCGAATCGAATAGGAATAACTTCACTCCACATTCTAAACGCTAAATTAAGACTAGCTCTTTGTTCTTCCACAGGAATTCTTGTACTAAACCCCGTTTCAAGTAATCTCCAAGCGATATCATGTTTTGTAAACTTTTGTCCGTCCCATATGGTACCGTTCGTAACCATAGATACTACACTCGTATCTCTTTTCTGCCTTTTTGGATCAAGCAGTTGTTTTTTATACTCCTCTTTTAATTTAGTTTTATAATCTTGAATGTACTTAGTTCTTGAACTACCTATCACTCTTTTATTAATATCACCAGTTAAAGCTTTCAGTAACAATGTATTTTTCGCTGACCGCTTCCACGGTCGACGACTACCTTTATTTCTCGCTTTTGCTATTGTTTGAAAATGGTCATTACTATTTAATACTTGTTGAAGGTTTTCTGCTTCTGTTGCAGCTTGTGCTGCAGCAACTGCTGCCGCTGCCGCAGCAGCAGCTTCCTGTTCTCGCATCCTTTGTTTATCCTCTTCGTTGTCCGCATTACCACAACGTGACGTGCTCATTAGCCGCCGAGTCTCTTCGTCCACAACACCCGTTTCTGGTAATTTATATGTTTTCTGATAATGCCGTATGGCATTTTGTACCTCTATGTCACTACACTCAGGAACTTCCTCTTCCACCATTGAGTGAAGGGAATGTTGAGGGGATTGATCCTCCATTGGATATGTGTCCAACGAACGGCGTTTTCGTCTCACTTTGCATCGTAAATATCCATACTTTTCCAACTGCATCTGCTCACAAATAAAACAAACATTGATTAGTTTAATTATCATGTTATTAAAACGTTCATATTGCAATGTTGATGATTTTGTTAGTATTAACTTAAGCCTTCTTAACGGCCATTCAACATAATAGGCCATATAGGATCCTATCATAGAGAATTAGTGATGTTGGATATCATTTTTACGTTCGAAATAAAACACAAACTATAAAATTGTAAAAACAAAAAAAAGTAAAAATGGGTACAATATCATTTTAGTCAATATGACATTATCTGGTACACATTTGAGTACTCAGGGACGACCTTTAATACAAATTCGGCTACAAGTACCCATTTCTCTTCCTCAATTTCACAACAATATTAAGTGGAAATAAGTTGAGATACTGATGTCATAGCTTAACTTTCCTTTTCTGTGGTGTAACATTCCAGATTTTGTTTGCCTTGTATAGTGATGATATGTCGAAATATTTAGAGTTTCTGGGAAAAAAACGTATTATTATTCACTAATAAACCTTTTTTGACATGGGCTGTTTACCCGCAAGGCTACAATATATATTGAAGAGCCTGCCCTTACGAATAATATGTACCTGAATTTGGTTTTGGGGAGTGTTTTTTTTTTAAATAATTTTTTAAGGTCTTGATTTATTTTTCTTAACGATTTTAGTTGGCAATGTTCTCGTGGAACATAGGAGAGAAACATTTTGAATTTGACCTTACACAACGGAATTTAATCGTCACGTATAAAAGAGAACATAACGTGAAATAAAAATATAAAAAATAAAATAAAAAAATAAAAAAAATATATATCGAAAACTTTTCGTAATACGCAATTTGGTTTTCACAAACTACTGATAACACTCAAAGCCAAGATTTGCACAAGGTTAATAAGGAGGAACGGCTTAAAACGAACTGCCATCATCATTGGAAACAAATACCACAGAAAGAAAGAAACAACATTATATGAAACTGCGTACTTTAGCAAGGAATGGCAAGTGTGCACTGCACCACTTGTGACATTCGTTATCGTTAATTTTCTTCTGATTTCTTTTCTTAACTTATTATTTCTCCATGTATTATTGTGAGCCAGTGGTATTTATGTACGTGCACGATAGGGTCATCAAATGAACTGTACAGCGGCTTACATAGTTCATCCATTTGTATATTTGTAATCATAATCTTAAGTTTAGTATTGACAACCGGTGGCAGAAATGGACGCTTGCTGTATTTCCTTAGAACGATAGACACGATGCATCTTATTAACAGTTACATAATATCTGTCTAGCCATTTACGATATTATAGGAACGCAACATCACAAAAACCACACTAACCAATTGTAGCATGCAAGTCTCCTGGTGCAGTGAGATATCTAAAATTGATATTTACTGTGTCTCCTGCAGACAAAAGGTTTCTAAAGCCAGACAATAGCTATTTCGGCTGCCTATACGAGTTAACAGTCAGACAAGCTCATCACATTCTATATGCTTTAAGGTCAATAAATTGTCAAACCTATAACAAAATACTTTCGCCAGACATTTAATATTGCTGCTTTTAAATGAAGCTAGATATTTATATGACCAATCCATCTTTTCCATACAATGTTCATTTTCTCTTGCCTTTTTTTGTAATGACTATTTGGGAAAATTTACTATTACAACCAGTTGCCCGATTCCAATCTTATTCTTCGGAACACGAGGTTTAAAATTGACATCGGAATGACGTCACATGATGGTGATATGTGAAGTTTTTTATTTTTGAATATGAAAAGAAAAGTTGAACTTCAGATATGAAAATCAGTTTCGTGATTGTGGAACGGAGTTAACACACACAAATATTTGTATACAACAGAGCGTTAAAAATGCAACTCTTTAGTACAAGTACCAAACGACAATGATATGAACTAATAACATAAAGAAATCCCCCCAACCCCCCGCGGAAAATAAGAAATACAAAAGTAAACACAAAAACACAACTATTTTTATCTAGATATACGACATAAAAAGTTATTTACAGTTATTAAATACAAATGCCAGCATAGCCCTAATGGTGATTAACAAATGACACATGTCGGGATTTCGATGATTTCTCGATGCTTCTTTTAAAACCAGAGAAATTGAAAGAAGATATGTACATTTGATACGCTGAACTATAGGAAACGTGCTATAATATACATTGCATGCTGTAGTATTGTGATTTTAAATTGGATAGTTTTCATGTCATTGTATGAGAAAAACAGAGGTCAAACAATCGTGTGTACAGTTTATTGACGCACGTGATGATACTGGAAACACACAACAGTTACATGAACCGTTTTCAATATAAAACTTATTCTTTAAATTTAAAATTTGGCGCAATCCAAAATTGCCAATGGAAACCAAAACTGCTTTTAATTTCTTTATGCTAATATAGCGCCAGTTTATCTAGTAAGGTTGTCTATACGATATGTATTATGTGATAAATGCGTGGTATTGATGGCGGTTCATAATGATGTATATTTTCACAGCGATAAATAAAGGTATTTGCTAACACACCAGTATTCCGACGGGACACCTTGCCCCGATAGAGCGTTACACAATAATGGTATATTTGTGTCAAAAATATGGTTATGTAATTATGATATGCGACTTTAATCATAGAATGCACAGAAAAATATGAAAAAAATATGACAGAAAATCAATCCTAATAGGTCAAACCTCCATTCATAATGTACAATGCTGTAATTCACTTATTGCTATCACGTTCTAGATAAGATCCCCTTCTCGTTTATTCTGAATATAGGTTCTAATTGATGGTCTATAGATCAAATCGATCTAATTATTCTTGATATCACCATACGGTTGACTATATATGGTAATGCAACATGGCCAGCAATGTGTGTGACACTTGGCTAAATATGGCGTGAAACTCGGCTTACTTTAGCCAGACACGCGGAGTGACATTTTCCCTATACCATATTGTACAAAAATGCCTGAAATATAAAACGGCACATGGCTAACTATATATGGTACAAAAGATACACATCATAATTCCCACCATACATCGATGATAATAAATTTCGCTACATATTGTACAGATATATGGGAGACAACCCAACACGATAAGCAGTGTGGAGTGACACTAAAACCAGCTATACATGGATATAGTATTATGTAGTAAGAAAGCCAGCTAAACAAGGTATTTTGTCAGTGGCTAGCATTCTTGTGTAACGATATAACTTGCTACTCATATAGTACAATACAATACCAGCAATATGGTTTGACAATATTGAAGCTAAACGAACCAGCATCTTGATTTGACAATACATGTGCTATATCTAGATATATGACATTAAAGAGCGTACTTTTCTCCCATGTACATACAAAGTTAAAATCATTGACAACAATCACAACACATACTTCAGTTTCTTTATCGCAACAGATATGTATTTTATACATATAAGGCAAGTAATAATTTTTCCGTCATGACTGAATGATCGATTTGACAATACCTGATTGACTATAGAAATCAAATGTGTCATTTTGTATTGAGAGCATGAATAGAGTAATGAAATATCACTAAATTGCACAATATTAGTTCATAACAGGAGCTGCTACTCTAATCATGGTTGGCTGAAATCAATTTCAAAGAGACTTGTATATAATCATAATCTCCATTAAACTTGCAAACACAAATATTGATGTCATGTTGCCAATGCAAATAACACTTATTTTTTTAACGTCCCACTCTGGCAATGAACAAACCAGCTAGGATCTTACCACAATCATTGTCCGAAGGAAAAACATCATTTGATTAACGAAATATGTTGTCGAGTTTGTTCTTTTAGTGGATTTCGAGAAAATATTGATTATTTTTATATATTCTCCATATTTTATCTGAGATCCTGTTTCAATTTTGCATGAGTTTGAAGCTAGATTTTGTCGTGAATCATTTGTTTGTTATATTTAACACTGATTAATGAACAGGACAGTCCATGAGCATGCCTCTACCTTGGAATACCGAGGAAAAATGAAATTGGTGTAAGGAAAATACGTCATGAAAATGAAGTAAACAGAAAAATGTGATGTCATAAATATGTTTTAGCTTAAATATAAAAATGCTTTTTTTGTGTGTGTTAAATTTACATAACAATTTAATTTCATATTTTGTCTAAGTGTATGAGAAGCAAGTGATCAGATACAAATATTACGAACTTTTATTAATGGCAGTTGGTATTGAATACTTAATCTGGTTATTCACACTGACCGTACCACAAGGTAAAGTAAAAACAATATAAGGTGCAAATATCGGTCAACATTCCAGCTACATCTACATGTACATATTTCAACTCACAGACACTTAAGGCTATCCCAAGAACACGAAAAGTCATCTTCACTCTATGTGCTTATTAATGGAGTATGCGTGCTGAGCACCGTTACAATAATAATCTGCAAATGTGGATGTGATTATCACTCGCCACAAGTATGCACAACAGTATGTACTGAGCACCAGATTTGAGGGGATACAACGATAGAAAAATATACAAAACGGTCAAATACACGTGCAGAGGAGAATATTGATACATTGAGGATCAGTTCGGTGATTTGCCAAGTATAACGGAGAAGTTGTTTATAGGTTTTTGTTGATTTTGCTAATGTATGAGCTGTGTGATTTTGTAGTATAAAGTGAGATAGGTGGTGGTTCGCAATCAGTACAGTGTTAGAAGCTACGTAGATATTGCAGATTTGACAAATACGGGGGAAGTTGACTTCATCTATCAATGATGTTAATAACTCTAAACAAGTATTGTAAATCATTACAACTCAAAGTAACCTGTGTTTTTATTATCATTATCACTACCAGGCAGACTGCAGCATATATGGGCAAAAATGTTCTTAAAGATCATCAGCCTTGTTTATGGTACATTATCAATGTACGCTACTGAATTCTGATATACGTTTGAAAGAAAAGAAAGGAAAATAGGATATCTTTTCGCCTTAATTGTGTTTTGATACCTCCGTGAGAGGTTCAAACCT